ACAATGCAATGACACATATCGTCTACTTCATCCAAACGTCTAATGATCAGGCGACTCAGTCGCCATGTACTCCTCTCGCAAGCAGAAGTGTGTAACGAGAAGTGACAACTTGGCAGTCTCAACCACAAGAACCACCAAGATCAGCAAAAACAAAAAGTACCTAGCACACTCATGCAGTAAGGTAGACGCCGGAGATCGGCTCGATCCCGTCAACACATGCAAATGGAAGGTTATAGCGAGAATGACAGCAATCAAACAACCACCATTCCACACACGAGTCCACACCATACATCGACCGACTCTTTGACAGCGAAGCAGACAGGCGTCCATTTGACACTCACAGCCAAGGTCATGCACACGACTAAGTACACACACTTAGTCTTCAGCATACATGTACACTCGGACAAGCACTATGGAGAAAACCAAAAGTCCCTTGCAACTTTTCTTTAAAACAACACCAATGTCGCCGCCACCAGCTCATGACCACCATGTCCAACCACAAAGCACGCGCCAATATAGCCACAAGGCCCTGACCCTGGCCGCACCCTTGCCTCCACCGCTGCTGTCTCCCCGACTACTACCTACCGAAGCTATCGCTAAGCTTACCCCACGCCGTCACTCCGCCCATCCTTGGGCACGACGAGACTGTTCAGCGCCGCAGCTTTCAGGCATAGCTCGCGCAGCATTGCAGCCGAGATCAAAGAGGAGGAACGGAGGAGACTGTGCAAATTTATAGCGAGGAAGGCGGTGGGGCACCAGCTTGAAATGTGGGGAAGAAAGGAGAGAGAGAGACAGAGAGGGGAGAGGAAAAACTCGACGAATAAGAGGGAAGTTCTAGAAGGGCAGAGAGAACCAACGAGGCGGAACAATCGAAAATTTCGCACAATGGAGGTGGCCGTTCAAGCCACGTGCGTAAGTCCGCCTTGCGACTTAATCCGGTCAGCTCAACTGGCGACCAATTGTCTTAGCTAGAAGGGGAGGAAGGAGGACGAAGAGATTTACATAGACAACGCAGCAAGCAAGAAGAGAAGTTGGCGCACGTGCAGAAGAGGGAAGCTAGCTTGCATGATCTTGCAAGGATTCAAAAACAGCTCCGCGCACATGCATGCGCGGCAAGAGAATTAAAATGCAGTGACAACCGAAATTATAACGGTTTCTTCAAAAGTTCCCATGCGGTGGCTAATTGGCCGCGTGGAGCTAATTTGCGAAAAAGACAAGGGCATGCATGCAATTGCACTCGAAAAATTGACCAATAAGTGGCCCCGACAGATCATCCTGTAAGCCCTCTTGCAGACTTATTGATCCTTGCAACTCATAACGGAAGTCGCCTTGCTACTTCCTCCTCACGGGGCCTGCGCAACCATCACAACCTCTTCAGCTATCGTATAGTTGCCGGATTGGTAAGGGTATCCCACCTGTGCCCCTTGCCACCATACCACTGCAAATCCACCATAGAGAGGCGATGGGGAGGGAAGAGATCAGGGAACTCCACTGGGGGGGGCATTGGAATCTTCGCATCGATCCTGGTCCATTCCTTGAACGTCAAGCTGTAGTTCCGTCTCGGTACCTGTTCGTCTTATTGGCCACCTCCCTCCCACTTGATGTTTGCTATCCAGCCTCCTTGGTCACCCCCCAGCCATTCTTCTGAGATTCTTGTGATTAGTTGTTGAAAGTCTTTCTTTCTGTGATGGAGGTCCTGCTATGCTTTCACTTTCAACCATTGTTCAGAGAGGTCCACTTCGAGTTGTTATCTCATAATGTCTATAAAATCCTTTCCTTGTATTCGCATGTCTTACATTACGCGTATGCGTCTCGTTCTCCAAAGGGCCCATAAGAGCGCCCTCCTCCCTATTCTAAACGTATGTTCTCCAAAGATGTTATCTTCGGGTGATCGCAACATCCCGCATAAGAGTGCTCTCCTTTCCTACGGCCAAGTGGAATCAGTTCCCAGTTGCCACCCCAGACTCTGTCCCTCCAGCGTCATGTGATGACAGCGCTCAGGCACTGAACATATGTTCAATTGTTTCCGGGACTTTGCAAGAGGGGAAGTTGTTCAGGCAGGATTTTCACCAGGGCGTTGCAAGTCCCCTCTGTTCCAAATTCGTTCAGTCTATTAACCAATTGTTGGTGGCTAGGCATCGGTGCTTAATCTGCCACTACAGGGAGGCAATCTTGGCTGGTTTCGCTGGACCCGGTTTCCAGCACGTGCTGCTCCCCACGAATAGATCGGAGCAAAAAAAAAAAAAAAAAAAATCTTGGCTGGTTTTGTCTTTGTTGTCGTAAACCAATAGATTGGCCAGAGCACGTCCAAGTGAGACATCCATCGGTTTGTCGCGATGTCTTTTGAGGTTGACCCTCGAACGTAGTATCCTGTATGTGTTTTTTTGCCTCCAGGTTTCAATTGCGTGTTCCTGTTATTTTTGTATTTTTGTACAGAGTCCCATTGCTATTCCTCCGGGTCAAAGGGGAGCTCCAGGATTGGGGTGGTGGGTAGCAATGCCACCCAGGCCTCCTGGTTCTGCAACACTCTTATCCTGTAGAGCTGGGATTTTTCGTACCATTCTACTGCATATGGGACAAATCCGACCAATATATTGTTCTTCTTATGGTGAAAAAGATTGACGAGGGTCGTGTCCTCCTGCACTCCAAACATGCTCCCCACAGCCACTGTGTTCCCCCTGATCGCCACCCAATCGCCCTGATGAAGGTCTGGCCCTTTGCGTAGGGTGCACGCCCCGTCCAGGCGGATGGAGAAGATGACCTGTTCCAAACTCCTCCCCATATTCTGCTAGTGTTTTCGTGATTGCTGCAGTTGTTGTTCCTGCTTCCAATCTCCAGACTCTCCGTCCCATATCCTTGATTTTCAGTAACCCTCGGCTGACTCAGTTGTTCAACGGGGGATGGGGAGATTTCCAAAGCACCCAGCCATTATGGTCTGTGATGTTTCAGTTACCGAACAGGGTTCCCTCACAACCTCGTCCAACCTGTCCGGCGTTGCCTTGTTTGGGAGCGAGCTGAGAATTGCCGCCAGGCCCACATCGCTCATGTCCAAAAGCCATCCCTGCCCAGGTTCCTCCTGGCAGTGTCTCTGTCCTCTTCGTCTTCCAACACAATTCGCCGTGGGAATAGTCCAGTACAGATCCTCTAGGCAGGTTTGGGGGTCGACCCCAATCAGAGCCCGAGGCGCCAGCCGGGCAATCTGATCTAGAGCCAGGGTTCGCCAGGGGATCTCAGGTGTCAGCAGCAGTCTCTTTATCCATGGAATGGTAAGGGCGGTGACTTGTGAAGTCAGGTCCGGTATTCCTAGGCCTCCTCGTCCTTTTGGTTGGACAATCGATGTCCAAGCCACTCTGCTGACGGTATTCTTACATTAGTTGTTCGCTCTCTAGAGTAGTCATGCCACTTGCTGCTTTAGTGCCTAGGCAGCATCTTGACTCAAGGCCCGTATTGCTGACTTAATACCAACAGGGAGGCCAGCATGACGTTGTTGATCACCAACGATCCCCCGACCAGGGAGGTGTGTTCGTCCTTCCACATCACCATCTTCTCAAGTGCTGGCTTCAGAATCCACCAGCATAATCCTGAGCACTCTGATTGGGAAAGACTCGGGGAGTCATCTTACTCTTGGCTGCTCAGGAGGATGGACCCTGATGGTGGATCCACCACCCGAGCGTCTGGTTTCTCCGGTTGACTGTCAGATCTAAGAGGGCAGTGAAACAGTTCATCAACTTATGATTTCCTCAATGTGCTCGGGGGAGGTATCCACCATCAGTGTGAGGTCATCTGCGAATAACGAACAGATCAATATTGCCTTTTCCAGAATGGAAAGCGGGACTTCCACCTGACCTTTCAGGGACTGGTTCTCACTCCAACCAGGGGTGAGGTCCCATTAGCAGTCAGATAGAAGTGTGGCCGATCCAGTGTGACACTGAGTGGCGGCGGCCAGACAGGTTCATTACGAATTTCTGGGCTTAGAAAACAGGAGAAAGGCAAAAAAGAAAAAGAGAAACAGAGACCTCCCACCCGAAATCACGGCAGAGTGCTTCCTAGCCATCAGATCACAAATGATCTGATGGTGGTGGTTGCAACAACAGTGAACAGAGTAACCGCCACATTTTCTGGAATAAAATTGACTTCTGTCAGCACTGATCCTGACACCTGTCTCTTATACACATCTAGATGTGTATAAGAGACAGCACGTGTCCTCCCCAGCAGATGTGTCTGTGCCATAAGCGTTAATAGCCGTTTCCACTCCGTTGTGTACTTATACCTAGTCTTCACCCGCTTGCCCCCTCCACTCCTATTACCCCTCAGCCTAGCCGCTGTTTTTTTATTTTTTTTTTTTATTTTTTTTTTTTAAGGGGTTCCTCTTTTCAACTGTGCAGTCTGTGTTAAAAAAAAAAAAAAGAGATCTTTCTTTTCAGGACTAAATCCGTGTACGCCTTCTTTAAAATGCCACTACCTTTCCGAGGCAAAGTCGAGAATCGAAAAGGAAACAAGCCGCATTCTTCTGACGAACAGTGTGGGTGGCGGACCAAAATGGCTGGTGGCCCCAGGCAAAAGAAAAAGAAAAAGAAAAAGAAAACGCCGCCGTGGTGGTTTGCTTTTCTTTTGGTGCACAGCGGGAATCCGCCTTGGCCTCTAAAACAAAAAAAGAAGAGGAGGCTCGGATGTACTGGTGGTTTAAGTTCCGTTTAACGCAAAAGCTTAGTAACTGTTATGCTCATTTCTCTGTCAGAAATTTCTCAGGATGGCCTCCGTATGCGTTCTTGACATCTTTGTGTGTCCATGTGGTGCACCTTCCTTGGTGTGTGCATGTGTCGACGTGCAATGCAGCAGTCTAAACGAAAGAAGAAAAAAGGAAGCAATTGGTGCACATTTATTAGCCGCGGAAGTACACAGAAGACGCACCCCATCAAGTCAAGGACCCTCTCCGTGTTCTGCTTTTTTTATTATATACTCTTTCTTCCTCTTAATACTTTGGGCTTGTCGCTCTGCAGGTGAGTCTTATCAGGGAGGCGGCACGTGTGCTTGCGAAGATGTACACAGTCATTCGGGAAGAGCGAGTGGCGAAGCTGCAGGCCATGACACGAATTCTGACAGCGCTTAAGAGCATGGAGGACGAGGACAATCAATCATGGGCTGTTGCAACGGAGACTCTCGCAGAATTTGAGAGGCTGCAGAAAAAGGTGAGATGGTTACTTTTTTTTTTTTTTTTTTTTTTTTTTTTTGAAACATTGCTCCAATCTATTGGTGGGAGGTGAGGGGAGGAAGGGCTGTGGAGTGTGTGGTTATTTTTGTATCGGTGGACTTGCATGTGGAATGAGTAGGAGCTGTACTGACTGACTGATGACCCTGGACGGAATAGAAACAGAAGAAAAGCCAAGGGGGGCTTTGAAGTGTGAACAAGAAAAAAAATGGACAGATGTTTTGCATCCGATGGTGGGGGGACGTGCGGCAAAAAGAAAAAGGAAACGCTAAACCATATTCTCAACTCCAGACGGTGATGGCGGTGGAGTTTGCAGCTAGGCTACCAGAGTGGTCCAGTTTGCAGCTAGGCTACCAGAGTGGCCAGGGACCACTTGACCGGCCGGGCCAAAAAAAAATAAAAAAAGAAATGCATGAGACGATGTCAATGTGATACTTGGTTGAGTGAAGAAAGAGCACTTCAAAGAAAAGGAGCTTTTTATGGCAATTAAAAAACAAAAAGAAAACACTTTTGTTGGAATTGCGATGCGACCCTGAGGCAAATGTTGTTCAGTAACTGCAGTTTATTTTTCTGCATAACAGAGTTTTTTTTAAGTTTTTTTTGTTTTGTTTTGTTTTTCTTTGTTTTGACTGGGACCTTCTTTGGCCCTTGCACGGCCGGGCTGCCCGGGGCCGAGTCCCACTTACTCCATCTTGTTGAGCCAGTTCAACTGTGTGACACAGTTATTGTGAATTAAAAAATTCAAAACAAATGCAAAAAAAGAGGAACAAATGCTTCTGAATTTTTTTTTTCCACATTTTTTAACAAGTAAAATCGAGAAAGAAACGGCACTGAAATTGACTGAATGCTTTTCTCTATATTTTCGAAAAATTAAAATGCAGAAACACATATCCTCAAGGGTAACTCTCCTTAGTTCACGCGACTCTCCGTGTACAGTGTGAACGAACGTGGACTGTACTCGTGGCTCTGTGCATTCGCCGCCCAAACAGCCTGAACGAGAGCCCCCGGTCACACGCGTTGAGCCAGTTCAACGTTGAGCCGTGTATGTGGGGCTTGGCCCCCGTGCAAACAAGGTGACCCAGGCAGCCCGGCTGGTAGTCTAGGTTTGCAGTCCAAATGTGCAATAAAAAATGGAGACATTGTTCAGCCAAAGCTTCACCAAACATCAATTGCAAATTTGAACGTATGTTTAAAATCAAATAAAAGTTGTAACAAGAAGAAGTTATGTACAATTCCCTGTGTATTCCGTACAACAATACACTTTTTCTTGTACGGACATGTGTAGTATGGTGTTCACAGTCTCACACAACATAACTTCTACGTAAAGAGTAAAGACGTATTCAGAGGGTGCCACACTCCAAAGTCTGACCCTATCACAGAGGAAGCCCTGCGATCAAACAAGAGTCCAAAAAAAAAAAAAAAAAAAAAGAGTAAGGGCCTCGGTGCGCATCCCTGAATGCGTTTTTTGTAGATCGTCCTACCGTCTTCCCCTGCATAAAAATGGACCGTGATTATCGCTGTATCATCATAGACCTCGAAGTTACCTCAAACAATGACGTTACGTACGTCCTATTCGTGGAAGACGGTAGGCTATACCTCTGTGTAGCCCTGGATAGCCTCCCTAGATAAGCCTTTTTTATTTCACTCTAGATAGCCCATCGAGTCCCGCTGTTATTTTTTCTTTGTCCCAGGGTTTAAACTACTACTACTACTACTACTACTACTACTACCTCTACTACTACTACTACCACTACTACTACTACTACTACTACTACTACTACTACTACTACTACTACTCTGCTGAGGGTACCTACCTGTTCCCCCCGTCTCCAATCTTCACTGCATTGTGAGTCTAGATGTCTGACTGAGGTAGCTCTATTAGCGCTGGCAAACGGACTCAAAATGGGGGGGACACAAATGTGCTGCTTGGAAAATACTAGGGTCGGTCTTTCACTGCATTTTGTGGCCTTTTTGGGAGGCGTTTGTGCCCTGTTTTCCAAGAAGAACATTTGTTACCCGTGTTCACCCTGGTGCTCTTCAGGCCCCTGTCGCCATGGTCTACCATGGCCCGCCCTCCTCCTGGGGTTCTTCAGGGTGTGGTTTGTGCTCACTGCTCTCCCCGCAAGCTCCCAAATTTTCATTTTAATTTTAATTTTAAAGGGGTTACATGCTGCTCACTGCATTCTGGTTCAATCTCAAGACAACGCCGAATCCTGCATTTCCACACAGTGCCTCTTTGGTGCTTTTCAAGTCTGGACTCTGTTAATCATATCTATTTGTTGGCTGTTAGGCGGTGTGAGAGCCTGACACTCATCATGCTTGTATTAACTTGAATGCATATCAATGATATCATCGTCCCCCGGTGTGGTGCTTCTGCAATTCTGCATGTTCAGGTGATAGAGATCATGAAGGAGCCGGACATGAGTGCGCAGGCGGCAGAAATGGCAAGTTATGCACGGCCGATCCCGGTGACGATCACTTTGTGGATGTGCTTTTTCATGGTGATATCAGGTAAGCTGCTGCCGTTCGGCAACCTTGACGAATGCCTGAAAGAACTGCGAACGTTTAAGGCATCAGACAGGCCGGTCGACACGCCCTTCCTGCTGGATTGCTGGGTGAATCTGCGACCATTCATTCTGGGCAAAGCGAACATGGCACAGCGCTTAGGGATATCAGTGCGCATTAGACACAGTACGCGGCGGCGAGGGAACGTCCCAGCCTTTCTCATGGAAAACGCAGAAAGCGAAAAGAAGAAGAGCTTTGAAGCGGTGCTGAAATGGGTAGATGTAGTGCTCTCAGAAGTCACAGAGGCAGAGGCATTCAACGTGGCGCGGGTGTGCGGACTGGTCTACACATGGGTGCGACTGTGCAGTGGAATCTTCCACTTGAAGAGGAAGATGAAGAAGAAAGCGATAGAGATCGCGGATCGGCAGAAGTATTATCAGATGCAGCTGCAAAGCGAGCTGGGGAGGACGATGTCCGACGACCCCTCCGAGTATGCATCGGGAAATGAAGCAGCGGATGGAGGGGCGTCGTCGGACGTTGGAACGACGGCGTCAGGAACGTCGGCAGGCGAGGGGGTGACTCCAGGGGGAGCTTCTGCAGCGACTGGGGGGACAGGCACATCGGGGACTGACGCCACCCCCACCACCCCTGGTACACCCGTCTCTCAAGGTGGGGCCACTCCAACTCCGTTGCAATTGCCGCGTATACGCCAGCTCAAAGAAGGGAGATCGAGCAAAAGGTTCTCGAGGCAAGGGAGTGACAAATCAGACACGTCTTCTAGGGGCTCTGTCAACGCACTTCCTCCCCTCAGTCCCTCGCGCAAAAGTAGCCGGCAAGCATCCATCTCGGGGAAAAGGAGAGAAACGAATGCAAGCTTGCTGACCAGAAAGGAGACCTTGTCAGCTGCGGCATTAGAGAAGGATTTGGAGTTCATAGGCAATGTTCAGGGCAAACTGCAGACGCAACAATCACTCTCATCTCTAGGTGGAGCAAGGCTACCTGGAGCGTCCATGAAGAAGTGAGGCGGAAGTTAAAACGGGGAGACTAGAATTGCTGAATGTCGTGGAGGGCAGTTTTGTCGTGAGCATTCCAAAGTTGTGAGAACTCCCACAGGATGTAGGCGTAAGCAGTGGGGGAAACCGTCCGTCACCCCCACGATGCGTCATGCGTCGTCGATGTCTGGACCTAAGTAAGATCGTCAGTTCGAGTCCATCGGTGAATGTACCCGCCATCAACGTCGGGACCTAAGTAAACGATCGTGAGTTGACATCCGTCGAGCAGCGGGGAAAAATCAAATCCATCGGTGAATGCACTGACGGACAGAAGGATGAGTCCCCCGTTTTGTCGAGCAGCGCGGGAAACCGTCCGTCCCAACGATGCGTCATGCCGACTCATGCGTCATGGACGTCTGGACCTAAGTAAAAGATTGTGAGTTCAAAATTCAAATCCATCGGCGAATGCACTGACTGACAGAAGGATGAGTCGCCCGTTTTGTCGAGCAGCGGGGGAAACCGTCCGTCCCCACGATGGGCCATGCGTCATCGACGTCTGGACCTAAGTAAGAGATCGTGAATCCAAATCCATCAGTGAATGCACTGACTGACAGAAGGACGATCTTGCTGCCGCACAACGTCTATTGCATGATAAAAACTGGATAGTGAGTGCTCAACTGACACTACTGCAACTTATCTGTTGAAGTCAAAAGTGAACTTATCTTAGTCTTGGTTTTGGGATTGTACAATTGTACAGTTTTAGGCTTTTAGGCTTTTAGGCTTTAGCAGTTTTTAGGGTGGGAATAGCTCGGGGTGTGCAATCTGAACTTTAGACATTGATTTGATCGATGATTGGATGGGTGTTAATGTGGGGGGGATAGACGAACGAACGATTGTATATGCATTAGCTCTTTAGACTGTACGTATTATACTATTGCGTTATTGTTTTTTTTTTTTTTTTTTTTCCCCGTTCAGTCGAGAGGAGTGGAGTGAGCCCCTCATTTTAGTCATCCGATGTGCGATTCGAACGCAGGTCTGTATTTATTTCATCAGGTCATCACCGTCATGGGTGTATGTTTTATTCTGTGTATTATTGTATATGACAATATGTATCATTCTGTGTATTACTCTATGAATGCGGTTTTTCCCTGTGTATTTCACTGTATTATTATTAGAATTCTCCCAGCTTACAGTTCTTTTAGCGTGCCGTTTGAGTAATCCGGAGCTTGAACCCATTACCTCTGTGGTCACAACTAATCATGCAGATTTGATTAGCGTGCCGTTTAGGCAAACCCGATCTTGAACCCCCTGACCTGTCCGGTACAACTAATCAATTTGTTGGAGATTTGATTGATTAGTAATTTATTACTAGTGCTACACATCTGGTTGGAAGTCCGTCAACTTCAAGTTTTTTTAGCAAAGAGCTGTTTGAGCAAACCAACGAGAGCTTTGAACCCGTGACCTCTGTGGTCACAACTAAGGATGGAGACCCGATTAGGAATAGTGCTGCACATTTGGTTGGTTGGTTGGTTGGTTGGTTAGCCCATTTTGCCCGCGGCGAGGCCCGTGCTGGGCAGTTTCTCAGACTGGCTGCATGTCGAATACAAGTGGAAGGGAAGAAGGATGAGATTGCCACTGATAGCGAACATACAAAGACAGCTGCGGGTATGTCGACCCAAAAGTCGTCTTTTTTTCTGTTTTTTTGGGTCACAGACTTCGAAGCTCGGTGCCAGAAATAGGGTTTGCGTACTTGTTGTTAAGTGGGCTGGTTGTGGGTCCTGTGGTCCACAGGACTGATGCTTATTGCCCAGCATGTGCTTCTT